AAAATTAAAATCAGTTTAGCGGAAAAACTAAAACGAAAATGTTCATGTGTGCTAATCCAATGTGGACAAATGATTGCGACGTTTATTCCGGCGGAAAATTTTGAACGTTGCCGCTTTATTTCTGGCGGAAGCGCAAGGCTAGTGCTCACATAAAAGTGGGAAGGTTTTATACAAAAAGGTAATTAGAACACACGGTTAAATGCTTTGAGGAAATGCAGGTGTACTTGCGCTGCGTGCTAATTACGTTGACGTTTTGTGCTACGGCTTTTATACATATGCGACCATACTGTGAGAAGGGCGTAAAACCAGTTTGGAATTAAATATTATAATTTTAATGAGACTTTCAAGTAGCTCAATAATTCATCATGGCAAAATGTTTGCTATGAATTTATACAAGTGTGGATATAAATGTTGCCTTTTTTGCGTTTCAATGACTTGCGTATAAAATTAACACTTAAAATAAAACAAATAACCAAAAAAGTTAATTTGAATCAAAATTAGCTTATAAACGTTTTTTCTTTCTTTCATTGGTTGTCGTATAATAGTATATTAAGTAACAAGTGGCTAAACGAGGGCATTACAGACGCTCGCCACGCTCGCTCTCAATCAATCGAGTCTCTAACAACGTTTAGCCACAGTTCATATTGTGCTGTTCCGATACGAGCAGCAGCAGCTGCTTTGACGTATTTGATTCCACTTTTTTATGTTCAAAATTAAAATTCGTAATTTTTTATTTCTGATTGAGGATTCTTAACAAAGAATTGAATTTGAGTAATTAATCTTTGTAATATTTTCTCCTAGCATGCCGGGCTTAGACTTTATTGTCATGTAAAGTATAATTATTAGTAGTATAATAATAAAAACAAACTACCACATTGTGAAGGGGGGCTCCTTATTATCCAATTTAAACAACTTTTCACTTAATAAAACTAAGAGTTTTTTTCGGCAGATGTCAATAAGTAAAACGTGTATTCACATGAAGACTTAAGAATCAATTATCTCAGGAACTAGAAGAGATAAACCAAAACCGAAAACACTATAATGCTTAGTATGAAATTCTAGGAAAGATAACGTTAAAAAGCTTTCAAATATAACATATTCCTGAAAAATTATCCACCGCAATTTTTGCAGTAATAATGTTAGAGAAGAACTTTCTTCATTTTGTTCATGCGGTGATATCAATCTATCAAATGGCAAATTTAGTTTTTCCATTTTCCAAAGTTGACCAAAGACTTCTCAAAAAGATCAAGAGGTTACACTTGACTGTTTTTGGACTCAAAAAAATTTTTTTAAGCTAGAAGAAATTTTCCATTTTCCGCTAATCGATTGAGTTTTTCAAGGGGATGAAAGATATCAAGTCAGTTTTCCGATAAAATCAATATTTCGGAAAATGGGTGGTCAATTTAAAACCAATCAAATAAAATTACCTCCCCAATTTTCCCCACACTTTCCAAAATGATGAAAAACAATGCCAGGAATCCATTAATTCAGGTTTGGTTGCGCTATCTTAATTAGTTTTTAAGTAACTGACCATTTTTAATTATTACATAAGTGTTGGTAACTGTATATTTTAACATGTTATATAATATAATATTTAATTCTACATACGAATATGAAACCCGTTTTTTTTATCTCTAATGATTTTGAAGATATGTGCGAAAAACTGGTTTATTCGTTTTCTCTATCATTTTCTGAGCAAAAAATAAAAATTTGAAATTACAATTTTTTATTACAAAATATAAAAGAACATGTGATTCTACATACTTTATCATAATAAAATGTTGTTCTAAAATAAAGCTTTTTGATAATAATAACCCTAATTAAGTCTAATTTTGTCGCTATTCAAATTACATAAATTTTTTATTTTTTGATAATAATAACCCTAATTAAGTCTAATTTCGTTGTTGTTCGTCCAAAAATATTTTTAGGAAGTAAGTTCGCTCTGTTCTTTGACCGAAAAAATTAAAAAAAAGAGTTTGACCCTGTTGTTCGACCGAAAATATATTTAGAAAAATAAGTTCGACCCTTTTCTTCGACGGAAAATAAAATTAACAAAAAAGTTTGACCCTGTCGTTCGACCGAAAATATTTTAAGTAAGTAAGTTCGACTCTGTTCTTCGGCCGAAAAAAATTGTAACAAAAAAGTTGGACCCTGTTGTTTGACCGAAAATATTTTAAGAAAGTAAGTTTGTCCCTGTTCTTCGTCCGACAAAAATGTTAACAAAAAAGTTCGACCCTGTTCTTCGGCTGAAAAAAATGTTAACAAAAAAAGTTTCACTCTGTTATTCGATCAAAAATGAAACTTATTGGATAAAACAGCGATATTCTAAAGGTATTTTAAGACACTTCCTCAGGGTTAATAAAGTTAAAAAGATATTCATAGTGTGGAGGGACTCTCGAACTTTAAGATGACGTTGAGCAATTTAAAAAAATTAATTGGTTCACGAAAAACGGCGATTTCCACATCATGTTTTTAAATTTTTACAAAATTGTCTACTTTTGAAGGGCATTTCAAGGCACTTCCAAAGGGTCTAGGTTGCTGAAATAAAATGTATCATAAAGGAAGTCTGTGGAACTCTAATATGAAGCTAAAAAACTTTAGGAAAGTTAATTAATTCAGTAGATACAGAGTGTTTTCCACACTATGTTTTTAATTTAAAAAAAAAAATGCTAAATTTTAAAGGACATTTTAGCGCACTACCAAAAGGGCTAGGAAGTTAAAACGGAATTCATTTCATAGGGGAACTCTCCAGCTCTGATATAGCAGTGAGCAACTTTGATAAAATCAATTAGTTTATGAGGTACAGGGTGTTTTTCACACTATGTTTTCAATTTTTGTGGAAAGATGCTAATTTTTAAGGGTCATTTAAAGGTACTTGTAGAAGGGCTAGACGGTTTGAAAGGCATGCGTTATGTAGAAGAACTTTTGATCTCGGACATGGCGGTGAGACTCTCCAAAAAAATCAATTACTTCAGGAGATACAAGGCATTTTCCACATCATGTTTTCAAATTTTTATAAAATTGACAATTTTAAAGGGCATTTTAAGGTACTTTTGGATTATACGTATATTATCTAACAAAGCTTTGAGTTATATTTATATGACAGTAAAAAAAGGTATGGTCCCCTGCTTTCTAAAGGTACAAAATAAATTATTCATAAAATAATATCAACGTATTTAAACATTACACCATGTTGCATAAATGCGTATTTTATAGCAATACCACACCATAAACAATACATTTCTAGTAATATGATAGTATATTAAGTAACAAGTGGCTAAACGAGAGTCTTTAACACCGTTTAGCCACGAGGTGCTTACGCTATTTTTTCTATTTCCATTCTAGTTCCACGTTGCGGTTTTCGTACTTTAACTTTTGTATTTTTATTTATCGAAATTTGCTCGCACATTTATACAAACGCTATGCGACGCTTCGGTTCACATCGAGCCCCTCCGATACGAGCAGCAGCAGCGCCTGCTTTGACGTGTTTGACTGATGTCGTATGGCATTTCTTACCGCCTTATGATGCTGCGTAGGCAAATGAGCAGGCGCTTGCTTCGTCCCATTGCATAATGCTAGAACATAATGAATATTATGTACAGTTTGGCCGTCCATATATAAAGTACCACTTTTTGTGTATAAAAACCGTGGAAAAACTGGCGTTTTATAGGTGGAAGTAGGAAAAATTATTTATCATAGACAAAACGATTGTTGCAATATCAGCAATGTCACAATGTAATATCATCGTCGGCATTAAGAAAGCAACGCAGGTCGACAAGAAAATAAACGAAGCGAACGCATAACGAGACATCATGTTTCTGAACAATTCAACTAGTTGATGGTTCATATTTCATAAAAATATGCTGCTCTTGTTACATCGTTATTTTTATTATTATATATTTTATAATATTCCATATTATTGTGGTGTTGATATTATTAAAAGTTAACACACTAAACAAACAAACTAAACATTGTTTTGTCATTTAGAGTAACTACACAACAGGTTGCATGAAAATTAGCAAAAAAGTATAACAATTATAAAATCATAAAACCAATTTAAAGGCTAATATACTGTTTCGGATAATAAAAGATAAGTAGATACTAAATATTTAATGCTACCAATGATTGCATTAAATCTTGTAATAGCAAAGAGGTTACAAAACAAGTTTTAAAAATTTTTACAACACGCTGTATGAAATATACGAATGAGTACGCTTCGTCTCGCTGAGAAAGCAGGCGCTTAAACTTGCGCGAAATTTCGGCTAACTTTTCGAGGGCAATAAGTTATTCGCGTATCGTTCAACCGGAATTAGCAAAACTGGCAAGCTGGCAGAAACGCGCGCAACTGACAAAACTCCGCGCCAAGTATGGGGGCATCCAGTTGCACGACGGTATCCTTTATCCTTGTTCGGCGAAAAGTTATTATACTTCCTTATACGTCCGCGTACGTCCGTATTCTCTCATCATGTACGTCTTCGCATTTTTGTTACTTATATCTTGTACGCTATAAGCGATGTTCCCAACTCAGCTGTCACAACTTTCTAATACTTTATTTATTGTAAATTAAACTTGTTAATTACAATTTGTTGGGTGTAAAAAATAGGTTAAAATTAGCATCCTTGCCCGGCTCCTCCACTTTCCAAATTTATATAAATTTTAATGTATAGTCCTATCTAAGTTTATAAATAAACTAAAAATATAATTATTTAAATTTTGTGTATATTATAAAAATTATATATTATTACTATAATAATTTAAATTATAATTTTTACAATATTTTAATTTATTGTGTTTAACAAAACAAGTTAGAAAAAAATGCACTGGCGCAACAGCGTGCCGTCCAACCATCTGTACGCGGCGTCAGCGCATGCAAACGCGCGACACGGTAGCAACGGCGGCGGCGGTGGCGGCAGTTCAGCAAACAGACTCGCGTTCGTTTAAAATCGATGGCGGTTTGCGTGCGGCGTTCAGTCGTCGACGTTCGTTCGTCGGTTGCGCCACGCGTGATCTTGCCCCCGTGAAACGCTCTCGCACGCGCGTCCTCCAACGACCAGAGTTAACCACCCGCGCGCGCACAAAGTTTCCTAAACTTTCGCATATGCAATATTTTGCACGATGAATATTTTGCGATCAAAGTGCTAAACACCGGTGGCACGGCCACTTAAAAACTTTAAAAACTTTACACATAAATGACAATTGTTGAACGCTTTTTGGAAGTGCAATTAGGTGCTTCGCACGAGTTTGCGCGACGAGTATAAAATTTCTTCAGTGTGACGAAACTTTACTGGAGCGAGGCAATTGAAAAATAAATAAACTTTTAATCAGTGAAATTCAATATTCTTCGAATTGTGGCACGTGCACACACGACGACGCGCAAAGAAGGTAAAAAAAGTAAATTCTTTATTTGCGTCTTACTTTTGCACCGCGCTTGGTATCAAACAGTGGGCGCTTTGTTCTTTTAATCTCGTGAACAAATAAATTCGCAAATGGGAAATTTTAAGAGCGCGCTTGCTAGGCCAAGCGTGGTGGATTGTCGGCAGGCAAGAAATGTTCGCGGCACTTTCGCGCAGTTGGCTGCTAACCCGGTGTCCGGGAAGATAAATCTCACATCTACACAAAACGACGTCGCCGGCGAGATATTAGACTTTGCGATGCGAATAATAACCGTGACACTTTTACATCCCACGCTGAGAGTGCTGAAACTGAAAAAAGAAACCAAATGAAATTATATCCTAATTGCCTTCCGTCTTCCAAGTCGATGTGTCGTGTTGCTGGAGTTCAATAGAACAATAAGGCCAAGATAGACTTACAAAATATACAGGTTTTATACGTGCACATAAAGCAATGTTTGCGAGTTTACAACATTTCGCAAAAGTACCACGTGAAAGATTTATTTGTTTCTTCGGCTTCCTACGATTGTAATATTTTATTATAACCGTAACAAAACAACTAAAGTATATTACTTCAATTATGTATTTTACCAAATTTTATTTATTGTTAATTTTATATTTTAATAGCTAGATAAATATTCAGCGGGCTTGAAATTGTGGAAAGCAAAGTTTTATTCTAGGCGGAGAATGCTTTATTACAAAAGTTACGAGAGCTTTTCAAGCCATAAACAAGAGAAATTGCCAAAATTTATAACAATATCCAAGGTAAAAGAGTAATTCACAAAATGTTACCACATATTCAACTCGTGGAAATGTGCTGAATATAATTCCAAAAATTATTTATATTTTAAAATTTCATGTTGATTTTTTGTTTAAAAATTTATATCAAAAGAAACGCAGTGCAAACTCTTCTAACGAAATAATTCGCAAAAGGATTCTGTGGTGGAACGTGAAGAATTGCGCGCCTTATTACATCGGTCTCCAACTGATCGCGAAGTCGGCGTGGAGGCGGCGACGGTGGCGAGACCGAATGCGGTCGACGTCTTCATCTGCAAACACTGACGCGGCCGACAGTCTACAGAGATATTCTCGAAATAACTCGGGAAATACCTTGGGAAAGTTTCGAGCTTTTCGGTGCGCGCAGTTTGGAAAGCGCGGCGTGCACTTATTATGTCTATTCCAATCTCGTTGCCGGCGCGCAAGGTAAAGATATTGTAAGCTGTAAGGTAACGACGAAAACTTGAAAACGTCTTTTTAATCTCGTATGCAAATAATTTTCCAGTTTGGTCCTTTCAAACTTCACCACGCCTCGGTTTTTGCCACAATCCGTAAGGTTGTGTTGGCAAAATTATTAATATGCGCTAACTCAAGGTGTGTAATAAGTTGAATCAACAAAGATACAAAGTGTACAAGCAAAAAAATAAAAATAAAACCGCCCAGCCTGGTTAAGAAGAAATTTTATGCTTTATAACCATTTACGCATATAAATGTATAATAAATGATGTTTTATGCAGCCAGCCCGAATAGGACGGTTTTAATTCAACAATAAACCCAACTTTATGTTATTAATTAAGTCTATTCTAAAACGCGTTGGGATTGTCGACCAGAGCTGGCGCTGGGGCGCAAAAGGACGAAGCTGTAACCGCAACGTCCTGTTACTGAGCGCGCACTTTCCTTTCCTTATCAAAAATGCATTTTTTATGCCGTGACGCTCAACCTTTTCGCGTACATGTGCCTGAAGTTTCCATTTGCATGGAAATTACAGGCTTTCATTTCATTCCGTCTGCGTGTCATTTTTTCCTCATTTTCTTCTATATTTTGCATTACTGAATAATTATTTACCACCAGCGGACTATGTTTGCATAATATACTCGCATCTTCATTTTACATTTCGGACATTTCGCATTATACAAGAGATTAATATGCGGTTGTCATAACTGAAAAACTTTTTCCATGCAAACAACTGAATTACAACTATGGTTTAATATTTGGGTTTATACGTCAGTGCAATTTTCTTTTGCAGAGAATTGTTAAAGATTGATCTGTAAAAATCGCAACGCGCTTGATGCCAGACAGAAAATGCACGAAAACTCTTCAGAGTTTTATGAATATGTATATCTATATATGCATTTACAAAAGTTGCAAAATGCTGTTTATATTAGAAGACGTAAAACTTCAGATTTGCTTACGGATGAAACGGCGCATAAGGAAGATATTCGTTTCGTTGATGTCTTCGATTTGGTGCTGAAATGTAAAATGCTCCAAGTGAGAACCACTTTTTTACCCTTGCGCTTTTGCAAATTTACAGATTTATTCAAGACTGCATACAGAATGTCCTTACAAGACGGATTAATTATATCTTGGTAATTATCTTACAATTTAAACATTTATCATTTTTAAAAGTTTTTCATATATTATTTCAGGTCTTAGTCAAGATTTGAACTGTTTCCATACATTGTTAAAAACAAATATGAAACAAAACACAGTGTATGTTTTGCAGTTTAGCAAATGCACTCCAGTTTTATTTTTATTTATTCTGCAGAGTGCGCCGCGGCAAAAAATAATATTTGCCCTAGCGTGCTCATCAAACGGATTTTAAACCCGTGAATGTGTTGAAAATCGTCAAAGTACATAGATGTTTGAAGGAAAGACGTGCGGCGAGCGCTGGAGCAACGAAGGAAAAACGATAAAACCCATTGTTTGTTTGCCTCGGCGCTCATTCAGTTTTCATTTTGCTCGGCAAACATTTCCCGGACTTGATGTTTATAGTAAATCTAGCGTTGTTTCCATTCCTTCCGAATTCTTTGCATATTTTTTGCACCGGCTTATCGAAATCACGTCGCGTGGCGTCGCGTCGATTTACAATTTCGCAATTTACGTTTTAGAATAACGAGGCGACCGCAAAACGAATGCTCTTTACGTGCCAAATCAACGACGCATTGTTTGTTTTTATATCATTACTAATTGTGCTCGGTGTGCGTATGTGTATGTGCCCCAGCGGCGCGCTAAATCTCTGAACTTTTGCGTTTCACCCGCCGGCCGTCGACGCCGGACACAAATCGAAAGGCAACCAAGCGCAAATGCGGAAAATTCAATGGGAAAGCACACATACAAGTACACGCATACAAACTCACAAAGTGAGTGACGACACGTGTGGAATGATAAAACATGCTGCGCTAAAAATAAAATAGTTTAGTGTGTCCAAATAGCTTAAAAATATTCATATTTTCAACATTGTTTCATTAGTCATCTTTCATATATGCATATAAATAAATAATTCCGGAAAATATTTATTCCGGGAAAATATTGTGGTCAACAAGTTGCATTTATATTACTTTTTGTTATTCTACAATTAAAAGATTACAATTGCAATAAAAATAGACGTAAAAATATAAAATATTACCTAAGTTGCAGGTAAATACTAATTATAATTAACCATAAGTATGAGTATAATTTCGATTCTTTAATTTTATTTTTTAACACTGTTATTGTTTCTTTTCCTATACTCCACAGCGTGAGCAAAAAAAGTTGAAGAGCAATCAACCGCACTTTTAATAATGGATTGCGACGCTTTTTTGCCGCTAACATTTTTCCGAGTTTTCAATGGATCGAGTACTAGCTACGCATTATGCGGGCAAAGTACTCGCACATCCAGCTACACCGCCGTGAGTGTTTGTACTTTTCGTGCAAAAAAAACGACGAAAATGACGAAACCAAAAAGTAACTAGTTTGGCATCAACGCGCAAGTAAACACGGGCGCTGCTGGTGGTTGTTTGCTTAAAACTTCATGAAAAAAGTGCCGCTTTTTATGAAGCTACTTCGCATTTTCCGTATCCGTATGCTCGCGAGTACACACACTGCTTGTGTTACGCAAAAATTCATTTGAAAGATAAAATATGTCGCAGACGTTTGGTGAACACGTCATACGTTACTTTTTTAAGCAAAATCCGCGAAATTGAAATTTCGACATTTTCATAAGTGCAAGCGTGCATCTTTTCCTCTTAGCAATTTCTTTGTTATGAAAGAAATGAGTTTTCTTTTCAGCGAATCAAATGCTTTTCAGCAAAGTCATAAGACGAAGTATATTTAGATTTTCATTGAGTTTGATAAAATTTCACATCAATAAAAACATTTTTTTTACATTTACGGCCCAGACAACCAAGTAAAACTTTAATTATAAATTCATCATATGCGAAATACAATATGAATAGTGAATATATTATGGTAATGATAGTTTGCAAACAAGTGAATATTGTCGGCAATAAATTATTGCTGTTAATGTATTTCTAGGTATCATGTACGTGCAGAACTCGCGCATTTATAAATATGCATAATTCGTGCATGTGCACCAATTGCACCTCATTTATCTCATCGCCCGTCAATTGTGTCCTCGCTGTGTGTCTCCATTGCGTTCGCAACAGCTGTTCGCCGGCGCAACACCACAATGTCCCTTTAACTCGAGTGCAAACATTCGCATTCGCATCTGTGGATTGAAATTACATTCCGATAACATTTGCTGGTTTTGAGAATCCACATACAAGTTGATTTCATTCTGGACATTGTTTGTGCACATATTTACACTAATTACGCTGTTTCAATTTCCAATTTAGTTTTCTGATATTGCACAATAGCTCTGTAAATTAGCTTATTAGCGATACACAACATTAACAAATGAAAATATTAATTACATTCAACGGAAAAGAGAAAAATCGTGCGTGTGTATTAAATTTCGTTTGTTTTGATGTAAATTTGATTCCGTCATCTTTCACGTTCAATTTTTGTAGGCGACCTGAACGAATAACGTTCGTCCGCACACCTGCCATTTGACGTTTTTGTCGCCCGGGGACAGTTCCACCGCAATTCGGTGGCTGTGGCTGCAACGAACTGCGTGTCATTCAAACACAGTACAAAAAAGAAATTCGTATCGGCGGCGAGCACTATCTCCGAAGCAACAACATCTCTGTCGTATTTCATAAAAACTCACTCAGCATG